ACTTTAAGGACAATAAGAAGTTTAAATTAAAGCCCCAGTTCTGTGACTACACACAAACAGACCCCTTCACCCATGCATAGCCCCATTTAAGATCCCAATTCACCTAAACACTTTGAGCACATGCTTAATTTTCCATGTGAGCTTAAGTCCTTTATTTTCAGACTGTAGTAAATGCATATAATAGGTCCATGCATCCATCTTTTTACTGCACACAAGTCAGGTTCCCTTTTAGTTGCTTTAACAACAGATTTACACATAAAGGAAAAATAAATTTTGTCTTTCTGAATTGATTTTAATGTTAAGGTTTTGGAAACCTCTGATAAAAAGGGCTGAATTTGCCTGATGAATTTTTCAGAAAAAATAAGATGTGCCACGGTCACAGACACTTAGCATACACTTAGTGAGCCTGATTGCCAACTGATGTAAATAGCATAGTTCTACTGACTTCTGTAGGTCTGTGCTCATTTACAGCAGTTCAGGAACTGGTCCATTATTTGGCCACATCTGGCCCAATCTCATCATTAGATTGCTCTTTCCATAGAAGAAAGACAGCAATTTCCATTAACCTACTTTCCCTTTGGCATGACAACTGATGACACTAAATGCTAATGGGATACAGAATTAAATACAGAAATAAAGAAAGCAGCTACAAGAATATGTACTGATCCATTAGTTTCCTACTTTAAAATCCATATGCATATGGACCCAGGATCTTGACAAAAATGTAAAACACTTGATACTTGCACAGAAATGGATCCAGGGTTTTGTAATGAGAGGTATGGGAGCAACTGAAACTGCAGAGGTGGCTGTATCACCCATTCCCAACCTTCTTCTCCCCACCCCCAGGCAGTGGGGTGGACAAAAATCACACTGCAGGAGCAGCAGTCTGGGACCCTTTCAAGTCCACAAATCAGGTAAAAATTCCCCCCTCCTTCCCCTCTCTGCTCAAAGGCATGTTCCTTCCCTCCCTCCTCCTCCCCCTCCCCAGCCTGCTGCTGCTGTCCCCACTGCCCTGGCAGTGAGAGGAGCTCCATAGCCAGTTCCACCCAGCCGTGCAGGACCTGGGCTCAGTCCAGGACCTTGGCAGCTGTAGGCAGGCTTCCCCTCCTTGCACCTGCTCCTGGGCTGGTAGGGAACACCTTACAGGAGTGGGAGGGGAGGACGAACACACCTGCTGCTACCACTGTCCCAGGCTGAGTCCAGTCCCTGTGCAGTTTGGCTGGGGTAGCCAGGAGTGGTTCTAGGGACAGTGGCAGAGACAAGCAGGAACAGGGGGAACAGGAGCATTAGGGAAATACATGAGCACAGGGA